AGTCAGGAGGACCTGAGTTCAAATTTGGCCTCAGACACTTGACACCTACTAGCTGTGTGACCCTGGGCAAATCACTTAACCCCAATTGCCTCACCAAAAAAAAAAAAAAAAAGTAAAATCATTGAATTCGTCATTTCTTATAGCAAAGTAGTATTCTATCACAAACTTATACCACAACTCGTTCAACCATTTGGTGGACTGATGGACATCTCTGTAATTTCCAGTTCTTTGCCACCACAAAGAGAGCTGCTATAAATTGACTAATAATTTGTTTTGGAAATATACTTTTTTCTATCCCTCATGAGACTGAAAAATACACCCCATGGAGCCTGGTGATTTGCTCTGGAAATAGATGCCTGTAAGGTCCAGAATTAGCCTAGCTGGGGAACCCTGTACCTACCCCATATCTGTGGGGTGTTCTTTTGATACCAAAGGAAGAGGCCAAGAGGCTCCAAATTGATTGTATGTAGTAGTTTAATAAACCATTACAAATACTGACAAACAGGCAGTCTGGGGCAGCTGCCAGACTGTTCAGTGGATCCCTTCAAAAGAACCCCCAAGATCCCCACAGTAATGGTAGAAGACAGACAAAAGATGGAAGAGCTAGAGACTGCATCACTAACTGGTGAATATTTTTGGTTTTCTGCTTAGTGATGAGTTTGGGCCTTAAACCAATGTTATGTACAAACAATAGTTTGTGTATTGATTATGTTATGTACAGGTCACATTTGCACCATGATAATCTTGTTATGGCTTTCATAGGTTATAGTATCTTAAGTTGTGACTCAGTGTCTAAGTTATGATTTTTAACAGGTCACTATGTCTGGGCTTCCACCTTTCACAGAGTTTAAGTTTTTATGGCTTTTCATTTTTTTATTTTATCTTTTTTCTTTTTTTAAGGCAATTGGGGTTAAATGATTTGCCCAGGGTCACACAACTAGTAAGCGTCAAGTGTTTGGTCTGAGTCCAGATTTGAATTCAGATTCTGCTGACTTCAGAGCCGCTGCTCTATCCACTGTGCCACCTAGCTGCCCCTGGCTTTTCATTTATTACTGTATTTTTTGGCTTTTCCCCCTTTGGGACCCCACAATGCCCTAAGTAGCCAAGGTGTGATGAAGGACATTAACTGACTGATTGATTTAGGGCTGACTCCATCATGGAATTCCCAAGGCAGGCTAGCAGTTAGGGGGAGTCAGAGACATATACTTAAATCCTTCTTTGAAGATTTAAGTTTATTCTATTCATTCCTTGGTCTTCTTTCTCAAATGAGGTACAGTGTCCTGGAGTTTCTACTATAGTAGACAAAGGACTGGGAGAGCCAAAGGGATATCGTAATGTATGCTTTTAGATGGGAAGCATGAATGAGATTCACAAAAGAAAATGACCAGGAGGTCTATAATTATTTGGTGTGGATTATTAAAGAAATATTTCCAATGGGTGGGAAGACAGAGATTAAAATTCAAAATGTGAAGCTCATGGATTTAACACCTAAGGGGGGAAAAATGAGAGGAATAGAAGGGGCCTTAGGGGTTAACTGCTGGGGGGACTCCCAAGCACAATCCTGGGTTTCCTATAAATGTGTGTGTGTAGTCTCTTTACATGACTTTTAGTCACAATGTCCTCTTCATAAAACCTTGGTAGTCTCATTCAATATTCCTTTGAAGAGGGGAGCAAAGAGCTACATAGGAAGTCTTGGGGGGTGATGGAAAAAGGAAGGTGGCCCAAGGGAGCCCCAAACAGTAACAAGGCATGAGCTCTCTGCTTCATTTCAGGCCTTTTATTTTGTAGATAACAAGCCTGATTTCTATTTAGATATCAAAGGTGACTGACTCATCAGTAAAGTAGAGTTAAGTCTCTAAGGACTCTCTCCTAAGACTTCTAGTCTAAGGATCTTTGCTCTATTTACTATAGTCAATCACCTTCACCTTGTGATTAGGTGTTCCTTAGAGGCTCAAGGGCATACCTCAAATTGGAATCAAAGTAATTTAGTCCAAGGGCAGGATTTGAACTCAGGTCCTCCTGACTCCAAGGCCAGAGTTGTCCCCCAAATTGTAAGAAGATACACCTGTCATCCTTTTTTTTGAAGGAGGTAGCCCTGTCCCACTATTTTTTTTGGCATAAGGAGTGAATTTGCCTCCTCTCAGTCTTTATTGACCTATGGACTGGACTTGGTCTGAGTCTTTCTCAGGAAGGATCAGTGATTTGATTCTTCAGAGAATTTGTTTTGCTCTGTATATATTAGTAGTTTGTTTGTCTTTTTCCTAATAGGGGAAGGAGGGAAGGGAGAGAAAAATCAAAAAAGGGGGTGGGGCAGAAATGACAGTCAGTATTTCAGTGATTGGCTCCTTGCTCCTTGGAAAGAAAACTGGCAAATCTGCACAGCATACTGAAAAGCAGAGATGTGACCTTGCCATAAAAGTCTGCATAGTCAAAGCTACGATTTTTTCCAGTAGCAGATGTATGGCTGTGAGAGTTGGACTGTAAGGAAAGCTGAGTACTGGAGAGTTGATGCTTTCTAAATGCAGTGTTGGAGAATACTTTTGAGTCTCTTGGGCAGCAAGGAGATCAAATTAGCCAATACTTAATGAAATTCAGTCCTTTCCTCAGCTATTTGTAAAGCCTCATCAGACGGTCACTTTGCTTTCTTTCTCTTCTTTGTCTCTGGAATGTTTGTTGTTGCTGCCTCTTGTCCATAGTTCTATTCATCACCTCCACTTCATATACATAAGGCATGTTTAGGTCATATCTGTATGGCGAGTTATCTTGACAAAATTAGTCTCTGCCCTGCTTCATTTTGTACTCCAAAACCAAACTTGCCTGCTGATGCAATTATCTTTTGATTCTCAACTCTACATCTGGATATGGCATATGTGCGAAACACCCCTTAAAATAGGAAATATTTCAGAGATATTACAGGTTTCTATGCAATATTGATCTTTATGGCATTGGACTTTCCTTTTGTCACCAAATGCATCAGCAGCTGAAGGCCCCTGGGGCTTTGGCTCAGCCTCTTCACTAGTACTGAAGCTACTTGCACTTCTCTACTCTACTCCTTGGAAGCCTTCCAACCTGAGGGGCTCAACTTCTGGGGTCATTTTTTTTTTTTAATCATTTTAGTACTGTCCACAGGTTTCCTTCTCCAGCTCATTTTAAGATGAGTAAACAGAGGTAAACAGGGTTAAGTGACTTGTCCAGGGTTACACAATTTTAATTCAGATCCTCCTGACTCCAGGACCTATTCCAGTACAGGCTATGCTTATTTTATTTTATATTATATTTAGTTATTTCCCCACACACAGTTAAAACAGTATTTGCACATTTCAGCATTTTGTTCATTTGCCATATTATAAAGATCAGAGGCATAGCAATCATGTTCAAGAACCACACATAAAGAACTTACTATGAGATAGATCTGATAAAATCCAAGAACAAAATGTTAAAAACAAAATTATTATGTCCTACAAGAACTTAATTCTACTGGTGTCATATATGTACAAAGAAATAAATAATCAAATATCCAATATTTGAGGAGGGAAAAAGGGGGAGAGATTCTGTTTTCAGCAGGTTGAGTTTAAGATGTCTACCAGCTTGACTGTATGAGATGAGAGAACTTAGGGATTTAATTTGTCATCTGCTGAACTAAGCGTTGATAGATTACCAAGTTTTTAAAAAAAAAAATTCATGGAGAAGGCCAGAAGTTACCACACTGTAGCTTCCCTGTGAATGGAAGAGGCTAATCTTTTAAGGGGAAAGAGGGAGAATATTGCCCTGAGATGAGTCTAATCTTCATTAATGTTGGTCCTCTGGGGAGGAGAGATAATTTGGGAAATGTAGATATTTTAAAAATAGATCAATAACGTACACTTAGTAGGGCATTGAGGGTGTAGGAGCAAACATAGAAAGTAGAGACAAGAGGCCAAAAACAGCACAGACGCAGATATTGTGGAGATGGGATGAGTGGAAAGGAATGCAGGCAGTAATGGGGAAAGGGATGGAAAGGGGAAAAAGCAAAGATGATCACATAACCATGGATTAAAGTTGGGAGGACTGGGTAGCACAGATCTGACAGCTATAAGAGCACTTGAGGGCCCCAGAGTTTTGAAGTCTCATTTTTATAAGGTTTTTCAGGGAACAAACTGTCACCTTGGAGTTGGTTTATTGATATATACAAATTATCTCAAAGTTGTCAGTTAACATGTCTGCTTCAACTCAATTATCATTACCATTTGGTATTTTACTGGTCTTATTACAGATGTCTGAAACTTGAGAATTACATTATCATGGAACCAAAAGACCCAGACAGCAAGGTCTGAATGGCTTTTCCTGATTCAGCACCTTTTACCAGGAAATTTGTTTAATATGATGCAATTTTCATGCTCCTTCGATCTTTTGCAAGAGTTTGTTTGCAACTTCTAGGGCAGTTAGGTGGTGCAATGGATAGAGTCCGGGTCATCTTCCTGGGGACCAAATCTGGCCTGATATTTATTAGCTATGTGACCCTGAGCAAGTCATTTAAGCTTGTTTGCCTTGGTATTCTCATCTGTAAAATGAGCTGGAGAAGAAAATGCACCTCCAGTATCTTTTGCCAAGAAAAGCCCAAATAGAGTCAGTTAGACAGGGCTCTCTCAATAGTTTGAAAGTCCCATGACTAAACTTCAGTACCAGTCAGCACCTTACTGAAAGTACCTGATTCAAGAGTGGCTTAAATGAAATTGTTCAAGTTTGATTTGTTTTGTTAATATATCCACATACAATGCATTGGGAGCAATGGAAAATAAGCTACTTGGGAATGTTGGCTTTAAGCTACATGGCTGCCAGCAGCCTTAAACTTGTTAGCAGACTGGCTCCTTGGTGGATCTTTAGCATAGTCTAAAGATCATGTCTGTGTCTCCGCCAGTGACCCTATCATTTTTTATAGTTTATGGTGACAATAATCAGTGAGCCTGGATTTGCCTGGAGTACCTTCACAAAAGAAGGTTTACAGTCAGAGACAGCCATCCTCAAATATGGTTTCCCACTGGACAGATGGTCATGGAACCGATTTTTGTTCCTGGCATAGGGGGACAAGGAGAGAAGAGAGGCCTGACAGGCTCTGTGAGTGGCACAGTGTTCATTCCATACAGGAGGGAGGATTTGATAGCATTATAGAACAGAAGGCTTCCTTCAGTATAATCCAGATATATGCCAATTATAAGCACAGGGTCTTTAATTTGCTGGCAAACTAATCCTGGTCGGGTGATCAGGTAGAAATCATTTCCTCTCTTCTCACAGCGAAGTATGTACAGATACTCAACTGAGTACTGGGTCGTCTTCCTCTTCCTGAGGCACTTGGTAGCAATCCCCAGTGCCCACTGAGGTTGCTTACTCACATCCACCTCCCAATAGTGGATGCCAGAAGCAAATGCCTGCTGACCGAAGACAAAATAATAAGGAAATTTTTCAGGGCAACCATCTGGACAGTCATCTCTGTGTCTTACACTCTTCAAATCCTCAGATACAATGACATAGCCACTGGCTGTTGTAGGATCCATAGTGACATTTGCTGCAGAGACAAGAAAGGAGAAAATTGAATGTCCTGAGTAAGGGGCATGCAAACTCCCCTCTGACCAACACCTGTTGCCAGGAGGAGTTGAACCTAGAGAGTAAGCATAGCCCAGTCTGCACCTCTCCTTAACTCCTCAGAGGGTTGAGTGATTTTCGCCTCCCTGCTACCCTTTGCCACGGGGATGTATACCATCTCCAAGTCTGTCTCCCTTTTCCAAAATAAATTGCCCTCTCCTCCAAAGGTAACACTGAGGAAATTGGTGGTGGTCTACAAGAGGAACCTACTGTGGAGCAGGCTGATGGAATGAACATCTTGACTCTTCAATTCTTTCTACTCTTAAGGTGGCCTGGAGAGTCATCAGGCTCTGCGTTCATCTGGGCAACTCAGTTTTTGAAAATTGACACAATCACAGAGACCTCATAGAACCCCAGTCTGCTGGCCAAGTTAGCTTGAATAACATTAAAATGTTCATAAGCAAATGTCATCTCATAGAATGGGGAAATGCTCCATCATCACAAATAATCAAGAATGAGTGTACAATGTGAAGTGCAGGATCCATGCCTAGGAATTGTTGGCCTTGAAACAAGCATAATTTGGGACGTGGGAGCAGTGTTGTTGTTTGGATTGGTACCAATGACACAAAGCAACATGTAGTTAGGTAAAATCTACACCTGTGGATTCACTGGCAAAGGGCAATTCCTTACCTCTGAATCTCTTTAGCCAGTCCTTCATCCCAGTGATGGGATAGTCTCTTAACTCTAGGGTGAAAGACTTGGGTTTTTCGGAAAGCAGTGATTCACTTCTATGCAAAAGAAAAGACTCAGTTAATCTCCCTGCTGTACACAAGTCACATATCCATCAACCATAGGACATCAGAGCCCATGAGAATTCCCAAACTAGATAATCAGATTGTAAATAGAAACTTACATTTGTAATAGCTCTTTACTTTCCTGTGGGGAAAAAAAAAGGTTGATTTTGTTAAGAAATTAAAAAAACAATGATGATAATATCCAACACCTATAGCACTTCTTATTGTACCAGGAAATGTGCTAAGTGCTTTACAATTTATTCTTTTATTTGATCCTCACAACCCTAAGAAGTGGTCTTATCATTCCCATTGTACAGATGGGGAAACTGAGGCAAGCAGAAATTAGTCAACTTGCCCAGGATTCACACAGCTAGAGTGTCTAAGGCCAAATTTGAACTGCGGTCTTCTTGACTCCAGATCTAATACTTTATCCACTATGCCACCTAGCTGCCCTAGAAACTATTCTGCCACTTTCAACTGCTCAGACACCATCACCACTTTAAGGTTGAATCCCAGTGTATTTTGGTTAAAGGAAATATTTCAAATAATCTTGGACTTTGGTTAGAAGAATATCTTCAGGGTCAATGGACCTCCTGAGTGGAGGAATGTGAGCCTCTAAGGATGGATTCATAGCCATCCTGGAGGCAAGAGACCACAATACAAGTCTCAGGAGTCAAAAGCCTGAAATGGAGATGGAGCCCCCCAGCACCCTGCTCAATGTATACCTCCCAGTCATACCTGGATCTGGAGAGCTTTCCCCAATTCTCACCTCAAGCAGGTCCAAATCTGGTCTGGATCTCGTTTCCTCTATCTCTCGGATAGCATCTTCCATGTTCTTCACATGTTGATTTATTGTATTACAGTAGTTGTCCCTTAGCTTGGAAGCTTTCCATTCATCTTGTTTCAATAGGTCCATGTAAAACCTCTCCTCCTCAAGGAGAAATCGGTGGATTTTTGCATATTCTCCTCTAATCAACTTTCTCCACTTAGATCGTCTCTATAAGGAAAAGGGTTAAGTAACACTCAAACATTGGTATCCTCCCTCTCCTGATCAAATTTCCAGTTCCGATTAATTTTCATTGCTGGAACCAACAATGTGACTGTTGACCGTCTTAGGCGACTTCTTAGTATCCCTCACATAAATAACCACCTTTGCAGAAACAAACCAAACTTTTGACATCTCTTCTAACCCCCTTCTCTAAATTAAAGAGCTTGGCCCATCATACTATTACCCACAAGAGTTCCGGTTACGTTCTCTGCTGCGTCATCTTGCTCACTCCTATATTTCTCAGCTTCCGCCCTACCCTGCTCTCAACTCCTCAGGAGACTAGCTTCATTGGCCTATCTTACTATTTTTCATTTTCTCCCTCTTCCTTCAGACATATATAGATAGAAATATATATACACACACACACATATATATATATATTATGTATATATAGAACATAATTATCAATTGACTTATAATTTGTTTTGCCTATGCAGCTTGTCTATTCATGAAGAAACAGAATTTGAGCCTGGTGATTTGCTCTGGAAACAAGTGCTGTTAACTAACCAAGGAGAAATGACTGATGTTGACTGATTGACTGCGGCTTCTTGGAGTTCCTAAGGCAGGCTAGTAATTCAGGGGAGACAGTCAGACACTTACATCCTTCTTTGAAGATTTAAGTTCCTTCCATTCTCTGATCTTCTTTCTCAAATGAGGCACAGTGTCCTGGAGTTTCTTCTGTAGTTGACAAAAAAAGTAGGATATCCCAAGGGATCTTAATGTTTGGGGCAGCATGAGTGAGATTCACAAAAGAAAATGGCCAGGGAGGTCTATAACTATTTGGTGTGGGGTTATTATTGAAGGGACATTTCCAATGATTTAGAAGACGCTAATTACAATTCACAATGTGAAGCTCATGGATTTTGCACCAAAGGGGAAAAAAAAAAGAAAGATTGAGAAATAGAGACCTTAGAAGTTGTCCCAAGTACAACCCTGGGTTTCCTGTAAATGTGTGTCTAGTCAATGCAACTAAGTTGTGACTAAAAGTCATGTAACTTTCTTTTCACAAAACCTTGGTAGCCTAATTCAATATTCCTTTGAAGAAGGGGGCAAAGAGCTATAAGAAGTCTTAGGGGGTGATGGAAAAGGGAAAGTGGCCCAGGGGAGCCCCAAACAGTAACAAGGCATGAGCTCTTTGCTCCTTTTCAGGCCTTTCATTTTGCAGATAACAAGCCTGATTTCTGTTTAGACATCAGAGGTGATTGACTCCTCAGTAGAGTTAAGCCTCTTGACTTCTAGTGCAGGGATCTTTGCTCTATTCATTATGGCTGATGCCCTTGACTGTGTGATTAGGTGACCCTTGGAGGCTCAAGGAGGTATATCAAAGTAGTTTAGTCCAAGGCGCACTAAGTCTTTCCTCTGCCCCATGTTACTCACCCTGTAGTTCTGAGCAGCCTCTTCAATGGGGGAAAAGGTGTGGGCTGCATGCTCCTGACCTTTACTACAGGCCATACAGAGGGAGGTCTGGTCCTCCTTGCAGAAGAGTTTGGGGACTTGCTGGTGCTTCTGACAATGGCTTTGTCCAACAGGGTTCTGCAAGTCCTGGGGGTTGAGCTTCTTACAAACAGCAGATAGTTTTGACAGGCGCACGTTGAGGCCAGGGAAGTTGTGGGAGATTTTCCTGCATTCAGGGCAAGTGAAAGGTGTGACCCCATCTTCCTTGCTTCTGGTCAGACAAAACTGGCAAAAGTTGTGCCCACAGTTGAGGGTGACAGGCTTTGAGAAGAAAGTCAGACAGATGCTACAGGTGGTTTCCTGCTGGAAACTTTGTACCAGTGTGTCAGCATCCATGTTCCTGTGAGAAGAGAATCCATGCCATGTACAGTTAAAGAATAGAGTTTACCTGGTTAGTCAGTTATACATGTATTTTTTGGCATATGTATGCCTTCCTATTTGAACCACTGTTCCAAAAGCTTGTGCTAGGAAAGTCATGAATCTAGACCAAGATGCCATGCATGGGATAAGGTAAGTTGCATTCCCCTTCTCCACCCACCCCCACATTTCCTCATACTACTAACACAGGATAAGAATAGGACCCAAGACACTCTTTTCTTCTGTACTTAATAGTAAGACCTGGCCCTAGGCATCTTGAGTGCTAACAGGCAGAATCCTTCTCTGAGGCCTGAAAGGTAAGGATAAAAGGTGTTGCAAGAATTTCCAGGGTCCTTGGCTAGCCTCTGAAGAATACAAGCAGACACAAACTGCAATTTATTCATCTAGTTAAGTGATGGACACGTTTCACAATTCCATAGATGACATATAGTCTCTCCTCTAGCACTGCCTTACCCAGAAATGATAGGATTGTGTAGGCCAGCTTACAAAGCTATTTTGGTTAAAATTAGGACCAGTAGAAATGAAAAGGCATATTTTTTTAGCAAAAGAAAAAGTATATTTTAACTGTTACAAATAGAGGGTCCCCCTGTCTGCAGGTAGGTTGCCTTATCTTTTCCTGCTAGGGAATTTAGGCCCTCCCACCCTGGAGCAGCATTCTCCCTACCCCCTACTTGGATCTGTATTTCTAAAAAGTAGAAAAAGTCTAAAATATATACGTATACACAGCAATATTGCTCCCTGTGTTAGAATCACCCCCAACCTGTTCTTATTCAGGTTACCAACTGGCTAGTACTTGATGAATTTAGCTGATACTGATACTCAGTAGTTTGGAGTATTTGAAATATCCATCCTGTGAACTGGTAGAAAGCATTAACATGGTGATAATAGCAGAGAAGCTCTCACTAATGAATGTATCAGGTAATGGCTTTTTTTTAAGTTTAGATTGTGGTAACCATAGAACATACAAACAACTCTCAAGCTACACCCCTAAAATGTGCTCAAGATGCAGTCAGATGGGCATTAAAGGACATACCATAGTAGAGTTCACTCTGGCAACCATGATGGGAGGGTGGATCCTCTGTCCCTAGCCAAGAGGGATCAGTCCACACTGCTATCTTGTGTGGCCAAGGGCTCCGGAGAGGCCTCTTTTGAGTCACCCTCTTCCTGATTTGCAGATTCTACTACAGCTGCCAGGTCATCTTCTTGGGCCTTGGAAGTCTTTCTCGGATTGTCTCACTAATGGCTCTGGGTCCTCTTCTCTAGCTTTTCCAATTTCTTTGCCATGTCTCAATAAGTTCCAATCTGGCTTTCTGGGGGCAAGACTGGCCAAATTCATTCCCTCAAGGCTAAGCTCAAGACTTTTCCCACTTACAGCTGGTCTTCCACTAAGGCTATTTTGACCCGAGGCACCCTTCCTCCTCTTTATCTCTTAGTCCTCGGGGAGCTAGTTCTTCCATTTGAGTTCCCTGCTTTTCTCAATGCAGCCTTTTGTTTCTCATTTGGTCAGGTACATGAGAGTGATAGACCCTGGAATAGCAATTTAACCCTATCTGAAATCTTCTCTTGTCATTTGCACTGTCCTTCCAGGCTCTCTGTACATACCTTTTGCCTCCTGTCCCTTCCCAACTCTGCTTTGGGACTCATTCAAAAACAGATAAATTTGTGACTTCTTAACCTACCTTCCTACCTCTTATTTCTTCCTCAGTAGTAAGGTAAGTAGTTCCATTTACCTCCTCCCAAAAGCTGGTAGCCCTGCCCAACTATTCTTTTCTGGAAAAGAAATGTGAATTTGTCTCCTCTCAGTCTTGATTAAACTTGGCCTATATCTTGCCTCTGAGGAGAGTTTTGAAGTAGGAGAAGTGAGGACCCTGGTCTTGCTTGCACCCACTGGAATCACACTTCAGAAATGGACAGACATGGTTCATCCTCCAGAACCTGCCAAAGGCTTTGGTATGTGCAGATTAGACTCATATCTATATTTATCCTCCATACCATCCCCTCCTGCCTTTTCCAGAACTCCCCAAACACCAAAACTTTTGTCTCTTAACTTCAATATTTCCTACTGACTAATTCTCCGCTGCCTAAAAATTCAACCAAATTCCCTTATTTAAAAACAAAAAGAAAAACATACAACCATATCCCTTATTTAAAAATAAAAATCTTGGGCAACTAGGTGGTGCAGTGGATAGAGCTTTGGCCTTGGAGTCAGGAGGACCAGAGTTCAAATCCAGTCTCAGACACATGAGGCTTACTAGTGGTGTGACCCTGGGCAAGTCACTTAACCCCAATTGCCTCACCAAAAACAATCAGAAAAAAAAAAAACCCACTACTCCTCTGATTTTGCCACCCCTGCTGGTTATCACCCCTTAACTTTTCTTTCTCAGCTAAAAGTCCTTGAGAAAGCCTGGACTCTCTATTTCCCTCCATACTACTCAAATTGGTGATCATTATCAGCTCAAGTTCAATGATTACTTTAGGAAGGAATGAAAAAAAGCTTTTAAGTACTTACTAAGTACCAAGTCTTAAGCTAAGTTCTAGGATACAAATAGAAAAACCAATGCAATCAGCAACAGGAAGACAGAAAAGGCACTCACACTGTAATAGAGGGAGACCACAAGTAAAAGACATTTCAGCTCCTAGACATATGGAAAACCTCAGAAATCCTAAGGGGGCAAAGGTGGAATAGAAGGCAAGACCTAGGCGCCTTTTGGGTAGTCAAGTAGATTACAAAATGGAGCACAGGACAGATAGAGGCAGGGCAGTAAGGAAATGGGAGAGGGTGTCAACTTGAATTCTAAATGAAAACAGTCAATACAGCAAAATTGAGGTCCTTAATCAGGGCAAGTGAGTTACAGCTGGGGTGTCAGACAGCAAGTGCTGGGGTACCCAAAGAGGGATCTGGGAACTGAGTTTATGTAGGGTACTAAAGCAGAAGGAATGACTAGGTGGCCAGGAGGCAGGGGTTAGGTATCTGTTTCAAGAGTTAAGTTGCTTTAAGAAGCAAAGTCAATAACGAAAGCTTGGAAATCTCTGGAGGGGAAGAGTTTGGAAGATCTACAAAATAAACAGGGGCTTCAAGTGACAAAGTGAGGTCAGCCCTAAGCAATTGATTGGCCTGGGAATGGAGACCAGGGCAGCTTCAGTCAGTTCTTAGTCAACTGACTATGAAGGCAAAAATGGTAAAAAAAACCTGGTGGTTCTCCATTTCATCTGAAGGAATGGAGTTGAAGTTGTTGATACATGCACAGATCACCTAAGATGGAGATGTGTTAAATACCAGGACCTGCTTCTACCTACGGTAGGGCTAGCTGAGCTGTGGACTTTCTGTTTCGGCCTACACCCAGCGTAGCGTGACTTTTAAAACTACTCAATTGGGACAATTTGAGTATCTTTCTTTGAGGAGGTAGTCACCTGGTGTCTTGCTTCTCATCTTCCCCCGTTGGGCAAAACTCTTTGGTTGGCCTTTTTATATCCCTAGTGCTAAGCAGTCAGCCACTCAACAAGCACATATTAAGCTCTTACTATTGCCAGACAGCGCACAAAGTAATGGGGATCCAGATATAAAATAGGGATCTTGACTTCAAGGAGTTTAGTGCTAATAGAGAATGACAAATACCTAAAAGGGGGCTGAAAGCTGAGTGGGTGGGGGAGGGGAGGGAAAGAAAGGAAAGTCCACTCCACAGCCTTCTCTTTGCCAATTCTAAAGTATCTGCCCCACGTCCTCAGAAAAAATCCCCAAGACTGAACCAAGGTTAGGTTCTTTGCCTCACCTTTTCTATTTAACTCCTGGTCATTTTGTGCTTGAGGCAAAATTCAGTTTACTGGAAACATTTGGGTAACGAAACAGCAGATTCTATTATAACCTCTGCTAATAGGCAGGTTTCTGGAAAGGGGTCTCGGGGTGGGGGGAAGACAAGAGAGTGGTGACTGATAAGGGAAACAGAACTGACCTTTTTTTGAGGGTTTTCTTCAGCCTGACTCTCAAGGCCTCTCCTTGGGCAGTGGCCCCTTTCTCTGAAGATCTTAAAGTCCTTTCAGGGGTTCTGGGTTTGCAGCAACAAGACCTGGAATCTGGAATCTCAGAACGTCTTTAATTTTGAGGTAGCTTCTCGATTTTATACCAAGTGCAGAGGGCGGGATCTACTCTCTCTCACAATGACTGATTGATTCAAGGAGGTGGATGGGCCTGGTTCACAATCACTTCTGATTGACACAATCAAAAGAAACATTTTCACCTAGTCTAGGCAGAAGAGCCCCAAATGGTAGGTTTCTCCCACTGCTTGACACAAAAACAATTTTGCCCTCAGGGAACTTTTGAACTGGAGAAGTTATTGCAAATTAGGCTAGTGAAATGAGTGGGAAAAGATAGGGAAAGATTTTTTTTTTTAATTTCTGGCCGAGTACTTTTGTTTCTTCCCTAACGTAGCAATGAGGGAGTAAATGTTCCTGAGAATGGGTAGGGGTGTCAGGCCTCAGACACTCTAGCTCTGTGACCCTGGACAAGTTACTTAATTTCTGTCAGCCTCAGTTTCCTCATCTGTAAAATGGGGATAATAACACCAGGGTTATTATGATATTGTGATATTATTATCACAACCCAGTGATGCTGTGAGAATCAAAGGAAATACTATTGGTAAAAGTTTAGCATAGTGCCTGTGGTAATGGGAATTTTTTTTTTATTTTTTTATTTTTTTATTTTGTTTATTATTAGGAACTCAGGGTCTTTCCTCTTGCAAATTTTGGTTAACTACAACTCTGTATTCTGTTAATATTAACATCACATCACCAAAACCTGTCCCATGGGATGTGAAAATTGACTTGGAGTCTTAAACATTCCTTAGATAAAAATCGAGAGGAAGAATCTCAACTGTCTTTGACTCTTTGGTGACACGTAAATCCTTCTCTTCAATAATATTTTAAACTTTCTAAATGTAGTTTAATCTGTAAGCTGCCTTAGT